AGCATCTCATGTTGGACCGTCCATTCCTCCGGGAGACAGACATCCCACCCTCATGGAGACCTTATTCTTCTACTCACAAATCAAATATTACCTAAACTTCATCTTACCAAGGTACAACCGGAAGAGGTCACACAGCAACTTCAAATGTTTTTCTCCACTCCAGTAATGAGAGGAATATCTACCTTCTATCATTTACTACTAGTGAAAGCAGATGTTTTCCTACCAAGGAATTGAAATATATATAATGGTGTAATTAAGATTACTCGAGACTCCATACTTTTTTAAAATTGCCCCCCTGTTGCTATGTCATACTACCTTTCATATCTCTATGTACAAAACACAACAATGTAGACCTAAATTAGAGGAAGTAGGGTATATGAATGAGCGATTAGGATGGTATGGACAACTACATGACCATTTCTATGTTTGTGTGGACAAACATAGAAATGGTCCCCGGTTGGGAAAGGGGTGTCCCACGTCGCTGCTTCTTCCTCCTCCGCTGCTCCTCCCTGTGATTGCATCGGCCGGTGGGTGAGACTGATCCCGCCCACCGGCCGGGGAGACCTAATGCCGCGCATTAGAGCTCCCCATAGGAAAGCATTTTTCAATGCTTTCCTATGGGGAAATGAGCGATGCTGGAAGTCTTCACACAGCGTGAGGACGTCCAGCGACGCTCTAGCACAGGTTTCCTGTGCTATGATCCAGGAAGTGCCCTCTAGTGACTGTCTAGAGGTGGAGCTAACCATGCAATGTAATTATTGTAGTTTATAAAAAAAAACTGCAATAATTACACTTGCAGGGTTAAGGGTAGTGGGAGTTGGCATCCAGACCACTCCAATGGGCAGAAGCGGTCTGGGTGCCTGGAGTATCCCTTTAATTTGTTTATTGAAAAAGTTTTTTGTTTTTTTAAAATCATACCTCCCAAAATGTCAAATAAACGAGTAAGAAAATCGATCAGTTTATGGGATGCAACTAGGGGTGTTGCAAGGAGGTGGGCTATTGCAAGAAAGTGTAAGGGACTTAATGGTCTAACATTTGCTAAAACGAAACACTAATGGTTTATGCATTAATTTGACACTGTAGGCACTATAGACACTTCATCTCATTGAATTGGTTATAGTGCCTGGAGTCCTCTGGTTGCAGTCCTTTCATTCAGTGTTAAACGATTTTTGAACAGTTTAACACTAACTTAGGGTCCCTGGCCATCAAAGGTCAGCCTCTAATGGAGGTATGGCTTAGGATGAGATTACACACTACCTTCTAGCATACCGATTCATACCTGCAATGGGTGCTGTGGTAGGACGAAAGGAGTCAGCTGACACTCTCACCCACCCATTGCTGCTCAGGCTAATGCTTCCTCATTAGCCCAAAAAGCATAGAGGGGATTGATGGGGCTGCTAGGCATTCTTTTTAGCATTACAGGGATTCTTTAGTGTTAGGAATACAAATCTGTATTCCCAATACTATAGAGCCCTCTGGTCCCCCATTCCTCGCTCTGCCTTCTCTGACGTAGAGGAGGGCTTATGTGCGTGCATGGCAAGCACCGCAAGTGCATTAGGCCCTCCCCATAGGTTTCGATGCTTTCCTATGGGAATTTTACGGACGCTGAATGTCCTCATAAAGAGCATAAGTCTATTAGCAACCAGGAAGTGTCTCTAGTGGCTGTCTAACAGCCACTAGAGGCAGTCTTAGTCCTGCAGTGTCATTATAGCAGTTTCTCAAAAAATGCAATGATTTACATTGCAGGACTAAGTGGGATACTGCACCCCTACCACTTCAATGAGCTGAAGTGGTCTAGATGACTATAAAACATTAAAAATGGTTTAAAGCTGAATGTACAGACAAGCACCAGGGGACTCAAAACACTATAACCAAATTTAATGAGATTGAGCATTTACCGTGCTTCCAGTGTCCCTTTAAACATGTAATGGTGAGGGGTTTATTTACGACAATAATATTGCAAAATGTAGTCAAAAAGTGATGATTTAGAAAAATGTAAACTATAGTTACAATATGGGTTATTTGACATTCTTTACTAATACTAATATGTCTGGAAGGGGCAATATAAGAAATGAACACAGATATTTATAAAACAAAATATCGGGGGGGGGGGAGGATTTTCTCTGCAATATGAAAACTTAGTTGCCAGTGGTCCTACATCAGTTATGATGAGTTTACCATTCTACTTTAAACTATTTTTAATTGTCTCAGTGTTAAAGAAATACTCAAAGCACCATAACCACAACAGCGTGCTTTGTACAGATATCTAACAGAAGCTCTGGCCGGAACTTCCATCGCTCAATGGAGGAGGTGGCTGGCACCCAGCGGACCTCCGTTAGCACTCTTGGCACCATAACTACTACAGCATGCTGTCGTGGTTATGGTGCATGGAGTGTTCCTGTAAGTCAGTTATGGTCAAGTCAAAATTAAACTATACTCCCTAGAAATCTAATCTAATTGAAAACTGCATTGTAATATGTATTTAATAAGTACTTTTGTGGAAAATATAGTTACAGCATGGATTTTGTTGCTTACATTTTTCTATTCAGTTTTTCATTCACTACAAGTTGTTGGTGTTTTTAATTTTTGAATAAACCCTACATGGTTTATACTTACAAACTATACCATTTTTAAATCCGATTTGGTCACCTTTATTAACTGGTCCACTGAGGCTAACAGAGAAAACAAATTTGAAAACCACTGCTCTGACTTCATAAAGCATTCTAAACCATAGAGTAGAATGTTTGTATCTAACGGTGATAGAATCTGCCAAGGTAGAGCATTCGTGATGCACTTACTCAACTCTCAAGGTTCAACGTGATCAACTCTTCACCAAAACTAAAGAAAATTCAGGTAAAAAAACAGTAAAATCTATACATTAGTCATCATTCATCGTCTCAGTGTATCGCACACACACACACAATTAAAAATGGCAATGTTACATTAAACCATTTCAAGTCTTTCATGATATAATATATGGCGAGAACAAGCGTAGATTGTATTTCATATTCTTCAATATGCATGCTATATATAGCTATTAATAAGTAGTTGGTCCCCCCTTTGCAGCTGTAACAGCTTCCACTCTTCTGGGAAGGTTTTTCACAAGATTTTGGAGTATTTCACTGGGAACTTATGCCCATTCATCCGCTAGAGCAATTGTGAGGTCGTGCACTGATGTTGGACGTGAAGGCTTGGCTCGCAACCTCCTTTCCAGTTCATCCCAAAGGTGTTCTTTGGGGTTAAGGTCAGGGCTCTGTGCAGGCCAGTCAAGTTCTTCCACACCAAACTCATCCAACCATGTCTTTATGGACCTTGCTTTGTGCACTGGGGCACAGTAATACTGGAATAGAAAAGGGCATTCCCCAAACTGTTCCCACAAAGCTGGAAGCATAGCACTATCCAAAGTGCCTTGATATGCTGATGTATTAAGATTTCTGGTCACTGGCAGTAAGGGGCCCCATCAAGGCCTGAAAAATAGCCCCATACCATTATCCCTCCCCCATTACACTTTACACTTGGCATAATGCAGTCAGACAGGTAGCTCTCTCCTTCATCTGCCAAACCCAGACTCACCCTCAGACTGCCAAACAGAGAATCGGGATTTGTCAGTCCACAGAACATGTTTTCACTGCTCCAGAATCCAGTGGCGGCGTGCTTTACACCACTCGATCCGACAATGGCATTGTACTTGGTAATGTGAGGCTTGCATGCAGCTGGTCGGCCATGGAAACCCATTCCATGAAGATCCCGCCACACAGCTTTGGTGTCGATAATGCCAGTGGATATTTGGAACTATTGAGCTACGGAATCAGTAGAGAGTTGGCGACCTTTACGCACTATGCGCCTCGGCACTCGGTGACCCCACTCTGTGACTTTATGTGGTCTTCCGCTTCAAGGCGGAGTTGCTGCTGTCCAGTAATACCACTTACAGTTACCATGGAATATCTAGCAGGGATTACATTTCACAAACTGACTTATTGCAAAGGTGGCATCCTATTACAGTACCACGTTTGAATTCACTGAGCTCTTCAGAACAACCCATTTTCCCCCACAAATGTTTGTAAATGCAGACTGCGTGGCCAGGTACTTGATTTTATACACCTGAATTCAATAATTAAAGGGGCACTGTAGGCACTGTATCTGCTTCATTTCATTAAACTGATTATAGTGTCCAGAGTTTCCAAGTTCCATAATTTCATTCAGCATTAGACAGTTTTTCATATTTTTCTGTTTTAATGCTAAATTAGAGTCCCCAGCAGCCCCTCCCCTCTGTGCTGCTTCGACGAATGAGGAAGTACTAGCATGAGCAGCAATGGGCAGCTATGATTGGGTGAGAGTGTCAGCTGTCTGTTTTTAGCCTATCAGAGCTCCAACTAACGGTATGAAGGTTATGACTTCAAGGAAGTGTGTAATCTCTGCCTTGGCCACACCTCCAGAAGAGGCCGGACTATGGGTGGCCTTGATCCCTTATTTAGTGTTAAACTTCTCTAAAATGGTTTAACATTGTATGGAGAGACAGTGCCAGGAGATTCCAGGCATCAGAACCAATTCAAAGCGATGAAATTATTATAGAGAGTACAGTGTCTCTTTAAGATGTGTATCCCAATACTTTTGTCCATATAGTGTATATATTGTAAAGGGTGATGGTGAGAATATACTCACAATGTTATAATTTGACTTTTAAAATCTTGGTTGCAACAGAACCTCTACAGCTCACTGTAGTGGTTATGGTGCTTGTAGTGGCATGATATTCCCCTACCTTTTGTCAAACTATATATTTGTGAGGTCCTCCCTGGGTCTAAAACATGGCCACTCTACATCCTCTCAGATAATGCAGTAACTTTTAGTTGGCTATTTATGCACAAAGTTTGTATAATGTATTGTTTTTCCTTTATAGAATCCAAAATTCACATTCAGGAAGACATTATTTCTTCCATTAATCAGATTAGTGGAAAATAAGTCAGTGCTGAAATTACAAAAGAGGGTATCAGGAGTAGATTATGGAACAACCGCAGAATGAATGTACCACGGAAGAGAAGTCCTCCGGGAATCGGAAAAGGAGATACAAGCCTGACTCTAAAACCTATCACACTAAACGATTCCATTACTACTTCCCGGACGATCCCCGAACAAGTTGGGTTCCAAGAAATTTCCAAGGAGGCTGGGGCCCTTCCACACCTACCAACATGCCAATTTGGGCTAGAGAGATGGGAGCTAAGGAGCTCTACTCGCCTCCTAAGGTATGCATCTTGGCTCTGGCCATGATGATTGCAGGTATCCCCACAGTACGAGTGCCAGGACTGAGCGATGTAGATATGATCATGGCAGCCCAGAAATTCATCAGAGAGAATTCTCAAGTATGATCTGGCCTAAGGGAGTGAAGGTAACGGAGATCGCAATAAAGTTGAATAAAGTTATTGGAGAAAAAAAAAAAAAAAAAAGTTGAATACAATTTTTTTTAATTCAAAGTACCGCTTTGTCATACGTATATTAATGCAGAAATATGAAAAGCTTCTTTCTGTTACTAGGGGGAATTAGTTCACTTCCTCACTATCTAATTAAAAATGCAATTGAAAGGCTAAGGAGTTACTTTTCCTTAGTGAACTGAAAACGAAATCCATCATTAAGACCAAAATAGTCACAAAATAAGTATAATTAAATTAAAGAATTGTTCCCTTTCACTATTTCATCCCATATTTTGCAATTCACTATTTGGTAAATGAACCGCTAAGTAAAATCCATTTACGGAGAACAAAAACAAGGCGCAAGAGTGTACTGAGAACGGACAGCAGTTGAAACAGCCTGCCCTTCGGTGGGTTCCCGCTCAGATCTCAAGCTGGTTTTAGCTCCTCTTGTGCCATTACAGAGATAATATATCTGAAGCATTTCAGACTGGTCCCACCCGTATGGGCAGTCCAGATCCAAAATGCCAGCAAGTGCCCTCTGCACGAGAGATACGGCAACGATCATTTCAACCTTGTAAGGCATCATCAGTGAGGCATAGCTAATATCTCTCTAGGCACTGTGAACAAGGGATCCACGTCTGGATTACCCTTTAAACTTATGGAGAGCAAAAACAAGGTGCAAGAGTGTACAGAGAACGGACAGCAGCTGAAATAGCCTGCCCTTCGGTGAGTCCCTGCTCAGATCTCAAGCTAGTTTTAGCTCATCTTGCGCCACTGATGATGCCTAACAAGGTTGAAACGATAGTCTAGGGTTGCTGTGTCTCTCGTGCAGAGGGCACTTGCTGGTATTTTGGATCTGGACTGCCCGTACAGGTGGGACCAGTCTGATATGCTTCAGATATGTTCTCTCTGTAATGACACAAGATAAGCTAAAACCAGCTTGAGATCTGAGCGGGGACCCACCGAAGGGAAGGCTAATTAAGCTGCTGTCCGTTCTCAGTATACTGTTGCACCCCATTTTTTGCTCTCCATAAAAACCATTTACACTTAAGTAATTTACTGCTTTTACCACAATACGACATTCAGAGGAACTTGGTGAACAAACATTTATCTAATGGGGATTTTTAAATTAAGCAACAATTCATATAATTTAGGGCCCTGCACTCCAGGTGTGCTTCATCACAGAAAACATCCTCAAAGGGGTGGAATTTATTTTGCCCAAAGACCACTATATGTAATTCCAGGAAGGACATTTTTATGGTCTCGATAAGAAGGACAGGTCTGGGTCAGAGAGCATGAGGTTTGCACCGCTGGTGGATGCAGACCTCCGTAATCGCTCACTTGTGGTCCAGCATCTCTAGTGAGGCATAGTGCAGCCTCCAGGATTCCCAGCATGCACTCTGGCTCACTGAGGGCTGGAACCACCGATTACTCTGGTCAACACATGCAGGAGGTGCAGACCTAAAGCTCCCCCACTAGACCAGCAAGGATCCAGCACCCCCACTATACCATCAGGGAATATGACCACCCACCAGTGATCCAGGAAAATCCTGCAGGAAAGCCAAGCAGGAGGGAGACACGTAAATAAATCTCCCCAAATTTTTCCATCTTCTCATTGTAGAGTGAGGGTTCATGCACTGGGCAGGCCCCATCAGTACCAGCATATTGAAACTATACAGGAAGGACGACATGGGATTAATTATTTTGTCGTCTTTCTCTGTGCTCAAATAAGGAGCACAAAAACAGATCATTATCACTTTATCTTGTTCTCTCATTTAGACCGAAATTCTGTGAGAAGTGTTATCATAGTGTTACGAGAACAATTGGAATTGTTTGGCTATTTTGACAAGATATGTATTGACAAAACTCGAAGTTGCAGAATTAAAAGAGGAAGCAGATGAGACCTACATGAGTTGTGCTTCTACATGATAAGCTAGCTCATTACATTTAGAATGGCTAGCTTTACTTTTTTTAAGATTGCAAGATATGAGTGAGAAAGTTCCACTTCCTGTCTCAAACTACACAGTGGGGATATGTAAAAACTTAAAGGAACACTATAGTGACCAGAACAACTACAGCTTATTGTATTTGTTCTGGTGAGTACAATCATTGCCTTCAGGCTTTTTGCTGTAAACACTGTCTTTTCAGAGAAAATGCAGTCTTTACATTACAGCCTAGGGATGATGCCAGTGGCCACTTTCCTCATAGAGATGCATTGATTCAGTACATCTCTTTGAGGAGATGCTGATTGGCCAGGTCTGTGTTGGGTTCTGCCTTCTTGACAGTCTCAGCCAATCCAGAAAAACAAGATATTAATATATTTAGGGTGGGTAAGGGGAAACCAGGGGGGCTAGATGGTGGTTTTACACCATTGCATCAGGAATACGTTTGTGTTCCTGACCCTATAGTGTTCCTTTAACATAGCTGGGCTGGTTCCTGAGTGTACACAACTTGGCAACTTAGCTACTGAGCAAAGAAGCTCTGGAACTTCGGGAGCATTTTTAGATTCTGCTCTATAGCAATGTAGGAGCTTTATAAGGACAGTGCTGGGGTATGACTGATGTCATACGCCAAAATTTGCCTTGTCACCCATTGTAAAGCGCTACGGAATTTGTTGGCGCTATATAAATATAATAATAATAATACAATAAACATACAGGGTTATTCACTAAAGTGAAAATTCTATGTAAATTAAAATTTAAGGTCAAACTAGCCAAACAGGAAAAAATCTCTAAATCAGCTATGCTTTCTGCTCAGCTACTCTGGCCTAAAATTCTCTTTGAATTCTCCCTTTAGTAAATAGCCCGGTTAGGAAAGTGGGATTCATATAAAAACCATGATGTATGAACAACTCTGATAGACTTCCCTCTCTTCCCCCGGCAAGGAGTCCAAACAGGCTGCTGCACACAAGGCGGTTAAAAAAACCCCCCAAAACTGGGGAGGCTGTTAGCAGCAGCAACATGGCCTCTATCAACTTATTGAGCAGTTCCAATCATCCGGTGCGATGAGTGGGACTGTAGAAAATACTACATATCCCATAAACCTCTGCTGGACGGGAGCCAGAATGAGATGCTCTTGATTCCTTAAACCTCTCACCAGTCGGAAATGGCCAAGCCAGGTGCAACACTTACCTATGCATATTGGGTAGTTTTAAAATCTTTTGCCGGTGTTAGAACACCGGCAAATGAGATTTGTTTTTTTTTTTTACACAACTTTTTTAATGCATTATCTATGCAATGTATTAAAATTGGTCTCTGGAAAGAATAAAGCAACATGCTATCGAGCTAGTAAGACAAAAGGGACAATGAATAATAGCTGGATTACGTAGTACATGAGGTATACGTGTATAATGGTAATTAATGCTGCCAGAATGACACGGGCTAGAAACCCTAAAAATAGAAGAAAGGACAGCTCATTTCAGATGAATCAGCAGAATGTATGTTGCAGGAATTATGTCACTGCGTAGATGATGTAACAGCACCTTAGCATTTCATGAATAAGTTATCCTGCTACTTGAAGAAACACTATAGGGTCAGGAACACAAAAATATATTCCTGACCCTATAGCTTTAAAAACACTATCTACCCCTCCCCCGCAACTCCCCTAAATAAGTAAATCTTACCTTTATTCCAGTGAAGAAGTGATCTCAGACAATCACATAGGAAAACATTGGATTGGCTGAGATTGTCAATTCTGATTACCTCAGTCAAGGAGGCGGGGCCACTGCCCCAGGAAGCACCTCTAGTAGCCATCTGAAGAGTGACCACTGGAGGGGTCCCTAGGCTGTAATGTAAACATTGCCTTTTCTCTGAAAAGACTGCTTTCTGCAAAAAGCCTGAAGGAAAGATTATACCTACCAGAACAAATACAATAAGCTGTAGTTGTTCTGGTGACTACAGTGTCCCTTTAACCCTTTAAGGACCACGGACGTATTAGGTACGTCCGACAAAAAAAACAGTCCTTTAGGACCGCGGATGTACTATGAGTGCTGGAAGTGATTGTTATCACTTCCAGCCGCTCTAAGGGTTTTGCCGCGATGCCTCAATGTTGAGGCATCCTGCAATACTTCTCCTGATTGCTGGGCCGCAGAGTGATCGCTCTCCAGGAGCGATCACTTCCGGGTTGCCCCACGTGGTGCCCGGCAGAGCATCTGAGGCCATCGGGCAGGCTTCTGATCCTCTATCTGCTGAGTGCCTCGAGGCACTCAGTGAAATAAATAAATCAATAAAATAAATATAAAATAAAATATCAGTGTTACAATGTAACGTTCGTAAATTTTGAAAAAAATGGTCTAGAAATAGCTACTTGTACTTATTGCCCTATAACTTAAAAAAAAAAAAAAAAAAGCTAAGAACATTAACATTTGATATTTCTAAACTCAGGACAAAATTTTGAAACTATTTAGCACGGGTGGTTTTTAGCGGTTGTAGATGCGCAACAGATTTTGCGGGTCAAAGTTAGAAAAAGTGTTTAATTTTTTTTCAGCATATTTTATTTTAAAAAAAAAAAAAATGTATAGCAAATTATATCTTTAGAAAGACCATTTAATGGCGAGAAAAACTGTATATAATAATATGTGTGGGTACATTAAATGAGTAAGAGGAAAATTACAGCCAAAACACAAATGTAAAAACAGCCCTGGTCGTTAATGGTAAGTAAATTAAAAAACGGTCTGGTCACTAAGGGGTTAAATGGGGAATGGGAGAGGACAATAAAACCAAGCAGGAAAAAATAAAATAAATAATAATAATAAAAAAAATAAGACATTAATGGTGACTTTATGGTGAACCGATAATCATTTATGTAACTGAACATGTAAATCATAAATGAAAAAAACAGTCATGGACTAATTTTCAAACATTTATTGTAGTTTAGAGACACATTACTGTGATGCACTCTCTTATAAACTTACACACCACAGGTTGAATGCTCCTGGAAAGAAGGAGCATCATGATAGGAACAAAGTACACACGGGATATGGGTCTTAAATAAGAATACTTGGGGGAAGGGGGTGGCGACAGATCAAGCGACGCACTTTGCCTAGACACAGGACGGCTCCAAGGAGAACACCCATGCAGCCCCAAGCAAGATTGCGATCAAACACACTACAAGAGATCTGACATACCTGACTACATCTTGGTACTATGACCTGCAGTAGACTTCTTCAGTTTGGGACTGCACTTTGCCCTTGGAAGGCATTGACTGAACAGGGCTCCGAGACAGAGCTATAAGAACAAGCCCATGGCTACTCCATATTCCTATTTACCTCCATGGGTGCATTGTAGTTTGCAACTCTTTCATGCCTTAGCCTGGACATCCAGTCTTGTCAACCCTTTTCGTTATCCTTCCTACTTATCTCCTGGGAGAAATAAACCTGTTATAAAAATTATTAACTGTTTAACATAGCATGTTTAAAGTCCCTGCAAATAATTGCATAAGCTAACTGCTCAAAGACTCACTCTTGCATATCCCTCGTTTTAATTTACAAAAAATGTGCTGTTTTCATATGTACACACTTGTCAAAGAGTTGTCTACTTATTATGCTGACTTCACTATGTCTGTACCGTTATTCTTGAGATAAACATGCACATCAAAAATAAAGAATAAAAAATAAATAAAATAAAAAATAAATAAAAACGAACAGTTGGGGAGTATTATAGAATTATAGGTAAGAAAAGCACGTGTGGCCAGTGCTGCGCTCCTTCAATGACATGTAGGTTAGCTGTGAGAACCAAGTTTGACTGTCAGGTATACAGCCACTAGAGGGGTATTAAACCCTGCAATGTAAACATTGCAGGGTTAAAAAAAAATAAAAAAAATTAAAATAAACATTTAAAAAAAATAAAAATAAAAACACTGCACCCAGGCCACATCAGAGATCAAGTAGTATGGATGACTTTAGTGATACTTTGAAGTGTTCCTTTAAGCTAAAGAAATCCATCAAAGAATCAGCAAGTGTCATATAAAGTACCCGTGGAAAAACACCCATACCAATGTGGTAAATAAATGGGCATCTTTCCATGGAATGTCATTGCGCCAATTAATGTGGTTCATGCGTGGACAGAGATATGCAAACTTCATTACTTTGATAAATCCAAAGCACAAAGTTCAAACAAACTATTTACACAGTAAACAAAAACCTACAACTTTCATAACAATTTTATCGTCTTGGCCTATCTCCTATAGACATATCCCAGGATAGGTCTTCCAAGAACATCTTTTCTTTGCGTAGACATGTGCTTCATATTATACGTATACTATAGAAACAAGAGGTTTCCCGCACTACCTACGCAAACCAGATGTTTAGCGGCACCTGGACCACGGTCAATAGTAGAAATAACAGGATGGTCCAGGCACTCAAGGTGTGTAAACAAGGCAGATTAATTGGAGAACACAAATGGACAGCCTGGACCATCCTTTTCTTTCTTGTGTTGCATGCATGTCGTGAAAGACCTCATAATTTGGTCAAGCAATCACTTCAACCTGAAATCTTTTGCAGAGATAATCAGAAGATGTGTGTTCTAAAGCTTCACTTGCTCATACGGGCCAATCCATGCATCTGCCAGTTCCCTCAGTGTATTGTATCTCTGCTGGAATTCTTCATCACTGCACTCTGATAGCACCTTGGTGATTTGGTCAGTCAAGGAATTCCTACATACTTGATCTGGAGATAAGTCCTTAGTGTCACCCTTAATGATTTTCAGGGTGTCCATCGGTACAGGAAACATAGATTCGTGAGCATTAGTAGACTTCTGCCATGCAGGGTCAAGCATTTCTGGTTTTAGGATTTCCTGGTTAGCTTTAAGTAAAGCCAGGATGTGGCGACAGGGGAGTTTCATTGTCTTGTAGAAGGGGCAAGTGCAACTCTTCTGGTTTTCCCAGTTCACCATCTGTGGGTTCTCAAGTAATCGAATGCTTGCACTGTCCTCATTTTTGGTCATGAACTGCAACGAAGTCTGTGCAACAAAAAACTCTTTCGAACAGAGGTCAGCAGCCGCAGGAACGCAGATGTCATTCAGTGACTGACATATCATTAAGGAGGTCTCGGAATCCATGTCAGATTTTGTATGACAAATATCAGTTTTAGACTCAGATGTTGAAGGCTCCTCTTTATCCAAAAAGACGGCCATTTCTTGGGGAGTCTGTATGCCCAAACTAGGAATATTTTTATCTATTATTTCAGTCTGAATGAAACTTATCAAAGCAAATATTTTATCCTCCCATGGAAGACTATTACTGAATGTTTGGCCAATTTCTTCCACAAGTGTATTCATCATTTCAATATATGTTGAGGATTCTTTGCCGTTCCTCCACCGGTGTAAGGCCCAGATTTGATCCATCAGTAACCAGTCTGGGTTCAACTGAAACAGCAAATCTGGCTTAACATACTGAAGCAAATTTGTGTACATATCCTGTAGATTTTCAGTTGTGGCTGAACACACTATATTCGTCAAATTGTTAATCAACACATCCTCTATGTTGGCAGGCAAAGACAACTTGGATATATTTTGTTTAAAGTATGTACATACGTGGAAGGATGAAAGGACAACTTCAGCTGATGGGAAAGCTTTTGCAAGACAATCAACTCCTTTAAAAAAGGGGTCCACAAGGAAAATGCGGATCTGGGGCCAGCAAGGATTGAACTCTTTAAGGAAATGGAACATCTCAGACATACTCGCAGGAGACTCATTTGTAGGGTATGCCATATGCACAATTCTTAAAAACGCACTTTCACAGTTCAAACGTGGTCCATCAGCAATAAAAGTATACAAAACTTTGCCCATGGCATTATGTGAACGGATGAGCAGCAACACGTCTGGAAAATACATGAATACTTTTCCCATCAATTTAGTTTGGATATTGATACGGTCGAGCTGAGAATCCATACTTAAATTAAAATTGATTCGTGATCCAGGGTAGTTTTCAAATAGCTTCTTCATTAGCAGATAAGCCATCTCACGCAGATTTACACGCAGGTTCTTTGAACAAAATCACAATGTGTAGCACCTATATATTAAACAAAAATAAAATCGATTTTAATAATAATAATAATAATAATAATAATAATGAGATACACACACAAAAAGTCCCTCCCCCCCCCCCAAGAAGTGGAGGACACTCAAGGCTGATGTTACAAGGTTACTCCAAAAGACAAGGTTCTAATAAAACAATGTTTTGGGATTGAGAAAACCCTTACTGTCATGGTCTCCCAAAAAAGAAAAACTTGCCCAAGTTTTTCCTGCAGCTCGGTCTTCCACTGGTGATGTAATTCACCCTCACTGCAGGGTGAGGGACATCCCAAAGGACGTGCTGAGGGCGATTGGGTGGCATGCTGCTTTTGGTTGTTTGTCGCCCAACAGAAGCCCAATATGCAGAGAATTCATTAACTCTCAATCCTGACTCACCTCACTAACACACCACCTTGCTTCCTCTCCTGCAACGTTATCTTAAAAAAATAAAAATAAATCTAAAACTTTACCATAAACTCTTCTAGCAACCTACTTTTCCCATACATGAAGTACATCTTATCATTACCTCTGGTATCACTTTACCCCTCTCCACTTTTAATGCAAGCTGGTTTGCGCAGGACCTTCAACACTGTTCTGCTCCTGTACACCCAACTTGTCTTGTTGCATATACATGTTTGTCTGTCCACGCCCTGTACAGTGCTGCGGAATGTGTTGCACTTAATAAATAATAATTGAACTGTGAGTTGCAAAAGAGCACACAAATAAGTGAAGTATAGAACATTTCTGATATGGCTCTGCAGGTATGGATGAAGATTCGATTGCAACCAAATTACATTAGATGGTGATGGATAGGCTCAGTTTGGGTTAAAGAAATGTAAAAAATAAAAATGCAGCTTTATTTATTTGTTCCTGAGTGGCCAAGGGGTTTTCTGTGAAGGGAGCTTAGCAAACATTGTAACAAGTGACCATTAAATAAATGCATGGTGGGGGGCAGAGGCTAACTACCAAGCAGATCAGACGTGCTGTGAACCAGCTCCTGCAAGAAGCGACACAAATAGGGATAAATATCTCAAAAACAAACTCATCAACGAGTCAGAGGGAACACGACGAGATGGGGAAACCCGGGGGCATCGAAGGAACCCACAAGCGAGACTCACATAGCCTGGGAACCCATACAAAGCACATGGGACCTACGCGCGACCGAGCCAGAGAGACGGCCGCTCTCCTGGATGGTAACATCGCACACAACACCCTTAGTGCACTCGCCTTCCTCCTCCCCCCCAGGCCGGCGGGGGTCATCCCGGCCTACACTCGATAGCCAAAATAACCAGCTGAGACAGCAATTCAAGCCTGATCTTAAAACTCAAGGCTGCAGCCCCTCACAAGGCGCACCTAAAATGTCGGCCGGCAGTGTGACAAGCATGATGACCAAGCGAACGACACAACCGCAACGGAGTGCAACCCTGCAGAGTATGGAGGCGATGTTAAACTGCTTCTGGGAGCTGCAACAAGCAGCCCGAACCAAGCGGCCTATACCTCCGACGAAGGGTGAGTGGAGCCACAAACGGCAGGGGGGGGAAGATACCCTTGGGCACAGCATCATTTCAACTACTCACCCACAAGCTACGTAGCCCACCCGGGCTGCAGGCCAAAGGGCAGAGAGACCAGCAGCATCGACCGAGGATCAAGCATCGCAAGCGATGGACCATAATCAGCTCCTCTGCGGTAGCAGAGTTTGTGGCCTAAGGATGCCGCCCTGCATACCAGCCTGGGGCTGGCAGGACACCCCCCTTGACACCTGCACAGCGGCAGGAAGCCGAAACCCAGCGACGGACACACACCGCTTCCACAAAGAGGGCATTGGATGAAAAAGACTTTGCTAGGGACCTCATGATCTTGCTACAGCGGGACATTGTCATTAAACCAGCCCCACCATACCATAACAGCGGAAATGCAAAACTTACTGAGCATCAGGACATCCAGGTGCACATTAAGATTTACATTATGTCTATGCCTTTAGCAATGGTCTAAGTGGCTTATTGCTGAGGTGCTTCGGCACTGCATCGATAAACGCAGATACCAAGCAAGTTCTCACATACCCAGCTCATGCATATGGCCAACTATACCAGCCGAATATCACGCTCCAGCATGCGTACTCCAGACCTAGCCAGGTGCCACCACCATGGTTTGAAATAATAGAATAACCTCTGCTTGCTGTTAATTCATTTTCTTAAGTATTTTACACTCATTATAGATATGGGCACGATGTGAATCACTATTATCTAATGCTTTACACCTTCCATCAAGACTAGTCCCGCCATAGCAGCCTGTAACTTCACTTAACTTACCTATCCTGTAACTTAGCAATACACAATACCAGTGCACTGCCTACTCACGGTCTCTAAATGCCATGATACTATTAGCGTTTGTTGTTATCAAGCCTGGCTTAGCTGGATGCACCAAATAGAACAAACTGTAGCATTGCTGTATAGGCTCCATCTTATATATTAAACGTGTTACTTACTACTGCTATCCTAATACAATTAACGCGGACAGAACCTTAATTCATAAAATGTGCATGTATTACCCTATTGTAACCAGTGAAACAAAGCCTGAGGAATGCCTTTGGGGTACCGCAGACATGTATGTACCAATCTTTGCACGTCAAAAATACAAAAAAATAAAAAATAAATAAATGCATGGTGGTTTCAAGGACCTTTAGTGATCAGCTTCTTTGGTCTCCTTGCTACCATATGAAAACAGAAAATAGGAACAACATTATCACAAATTATCAAATCTCACCATTGTTTTAAGAATTAGAACTTCAATGGTTATACAACATAATATAAATATATATTAAATAAAGTCCCCTTAAATTAAATGGAATCATCTTTTCAGTTGTGCTATACCCCACCCCCACCTTAACTCAGTTTTTTTTCTGCCCAGAGAATAATACTTACACGACTATACCCATATGCAGCATAACAAGGATATGGTCTTTTCCAAGAGCAGGGTGTACAAATATGGCCGCCGGCACACTTCCGGTATCGTTATCACGTACTTCCGGCATACCAAAGACTTGTTGAGCAGGCGAGATTCCCATCCCATCCAGCATGCAGCCACGGCAGTCACGTGACAGGGAGGTCACATGATACAGGTTACATAGGAAGTAGAGGGCGGGAAATTTAAAATGAACAGGCTTGTACTGTGTCTGTCTGCCATGCTGTATATGCACAGAGCATGGCTACTGAAAAAAATAGGCATCAAGGAATAAATAGTAATAAAGGTTAATTAAGTTCATGATTGTGTTTGAGAAAGGGTTATGGTTACTGAGACTTTAAGGGGTTAACAGCTGATGTAACTGTGAAAGTTTTATCATCTCATCTAAATGATATTTTAAAGGACCAGTTTGGGCACCATAACAACTTCAGCAAAATGAAGTTGTTGTGGTGCCAGAAGGTCCCTGGCACTGGCTGACCTTTAAAGGACCACTATAGTTCCTTGAGGGAGCCCCCACCCTCAGGGTCCCACTCCCGCCGTGCTGAAGGGGGAGGAAGGTGGTTAAACACTTACCTTTCTTCGGCACTGGGGACTCTCCTCCTTCTTTGGTCATCATCGGCTGAATGCCCATGCTATGGACGCTGGCGTCTTCTCACTGTGACAATCACAGTGGGAAGCGCCTCTAGCGGCTGTCAATGAGACAGCCACTAGAGGCTGGATTAACCCATTTGTAAACATAGCAGTTTCTCTGGGCAGGGTTAATCCTAGATGTACCTGCCACCCAGAAAACTTCATTGAGCTGACGTGGTCTGGGTGCCTATAGCGGTCCTTTAAGAGTTAGACCATTAACCTCAAAGTTTGTGTTCCATCGTCGGATCTTCCTGCCACTCTGTGTTTTTGCTTGCTAAAAAATTCTGGACACCGGAAGGCTTGGGCAACAGCTCAGCCGACTGGCTAAGAATGGCCAGCTGACATTCTCAGACAATCAGCTATGGCGCTGCCTGAGGCTTCCAGTTTCCAGAATTTGAGCAGACAGAGGGGTGCTGGAAAACAGTCTTTGGGGTAAAACTGTAATGTGAGCCAGCACCATGGGTGTCCTAGCAATAGTGTGATGGGATTTCAGCCAGGCCCAAAATTTAGTACGCCTAAAATCTCCATGTGGCATATACAAGTACAGGTATCTGTTGTATCTGTTAGTTACGTGTAGCTAAGATACTGTCATCAATGTACTGAGCATGTGCTGGATTTGAAAAACCACATTCCATTCTGCTCAAGTGCCATACTGCCTATCCATATAAGGTAATGCTGTAAATACTGTTTGCTGATTGGTGTAAGGGTACAGATGGGGGATGTATAGTCTATAAAAAGCCTGTACTTCATGTGTTCAGGGCTCAGACATTTTAAAAATGAGTTCAGCTGAGACCCGATCGGTGAGAATAAAGACAATTGCTTCCTGAACTGACGTGTCCGGACTCTCTGTGCGTGGCTTCTTCAGAATTCTCCTATATGGCAGACATATAGATACACACACTGACAGACATACAAATACTTACAGACGTACAGATACACACACATTGACAGACACACAGATACAAACACACTGGCAGACAGGTCTAGCCCATACACAGGTCCCACTGGGACCATGGCTCCAGGAAGCACTTTGACAGGGCCACCATTTTGCTGCCCCTGTGAGAGTGCAGTGTAAGCCCAGTTTTGCCTGATCAACTTGTCTATCGGTGTGGCCTGGAAGGCCGTCCAAAGCTAAAAACAAATCAGAGGCGTCTAGAGTGGGAGACTGATCTGGGGTTGGCCGGTGGCCTCATGGTTATGACATGTTTCTCACTGAAGTTCCGATGCTCTGAGATTCCTAGCTGTGCGTGCCAGAACCTCAGTGGGAACTTTACTTTTACTGTAATTTACCGCAGGCCTGTTGCTGTGGGCTGTCTCCCGGCAGATTTCCCCTATGAATCTGTCTATGTGTTCTGTAACGGCCACATATGCAGCACCATCGGCAGCACATGCAGTACTCAGACTGAGCCAACAGTGAAGACAAGATGAGTGGGGCCACAAGGAGTCAATTCAGACTCCACTTCAGACAGGACCCACCGTAATGCTGTTACAGAAAGGGTACGTCATTTTTTTTTGCTTTTTTATTCTTCAATTTTTTCATAACATTCGCATTACTTCTATGAAGAATAGGGAGTGTAATTTCATCATACTCCCTATCCTTATTTCTTCATTAAGTTTGTTCCATATTTATATATATATATTTTTCTCATATTTGATATTATGTCCCTCCACCCCTAGGGAGCGTCTCTTATTATTTCATTACTTTTTCATCTTTATTTCTGTTTATTTTTTTACATTTTGTATTTATGACATTTGTTGGATTTACTTCAACTACTCTATTGATACATGTATCATTTAATTACATCTATTAGGAGTAATCCTTTTTTCTTATGGTTTTATTTTCATAGCCGACCTCTGTCGGGTTATATTGCGCATGCGCATACTGATCCCTTTCTCGGGACAAGCATGGCCTCATTTGGAACACATTGTGCATTCCAAATACCAACTAGATGGTAATTTCACGGACACATGCCTGTCTTGCGTTCCTTTCCCATTTCCATCGGATGTACGTCACTATGGGAGCCTTTCCGGTTTATGGTGGAACGCATATGCGTTCCACTGATTAATCTCTTTTGGGCAATCTTATATTGCGGACGTACATGCATCTTACAATTATATTATATTTTATCTCTGCTGGATATTTGAGACATCAGGAGACTTCCACAGGCTTTTAGTGGAGCGCATATGCGATCCATGTGTTATATGGATTATCTCTTGCACTTCAATCCATCTCAGGCATCATTCTATATATTCTAGGTGACATAATACTGTTTATTGTTACATGCTTATATGATATTTACATTTCATTATTCATGATCATTGTGACGGTAGTCACCGTCACTGGGGATGGAAGACAGACACTATGGGTAGGCTCCCAAATTCCTTTTGTGTTTTGTCACACTGTGCCTATTATTTGTGCAGGGTATGTTGAATGTATTGCTGGTCTGTGCCTCTTCCACTCCTCCCTTTTTCCTGTCCTATTGTTTCCCCAGCAGGGCGTTGTCCCAGGGACACTGCCAGACCCGTTTAAACTGGCTGCCCTGTCCCTCCTGAATATCCCATAAGCCCTTGCTATTGTCTGACCCCACCCTTCCATGTACTGTAGTACTCTTATCAACCTATTGTATGTAAATAAGGTTGTTGGGTGCTTAAACTATGTGTGCTGTATTCATTAAAGAGTTGCTGTTTAATCTTCACCATGTGTCGTCTGGTGTTTGGTCCAGGGTTTGAGAGGTCTCCAACCACTGTGGGTGGCCACCCATTTTAATCAGGTGTTACTTATGTATTGGTATAAAAGGAGGTTGATCTCCTTTTCACAATATACACCGAAACTTTGGGGGCTATTTTTTTATTTCCCACCCTCTTCTCATTCTGATAATTTTTATTTTTTTCTGGTATGCAGGGCCGCCATCAGAAATTGTAGGGCCCCTAACACAGCTCAAGGTCTGGGCCCCCGGGTGCCCACCTCCAAGACCCGCCTCCAAATCCCGCCCACAGGAATACACAGACACACACACAGAAAGATACACACATACTAACAGATGCAAATACTGAAACAGACATACACACATAAAGACACATACACAGATACACACACATACTGACAAACAGACATACATACAAACTGACATACATACACATAAATACATACACATACATACATACAGATATACATACATACACACACAGATAGATATATACATACACAGATACATACAGACATACTGACATACACACACACACAGACATACATGCATACTGACATACATGCTGATAGATATATACATGCACACATACATACATACTGACATACACACAACATATATATACATACTGACATACACACACACACACAGACATACATGCATACTGACATACATACATACATACATACATACTGACAAACACACAGACATATATGCATACTGACATACACACACGCACAGACATACAAACATACTTGCAGACATACATACAGACTTACATACTGACATACACAGACATATATACATACTGACATACTGACATACACACACACACACAGACATACATACTGACATACACACACACACACAGACATATATACATACTGACATACACACAGACATACATATATACATACTGACACACACACAGACACATATACATACTGACACACACACACACACAGACAGACATATATACATACTGACATACACACACACAGACATATATACATACTGACATACACACACACAGACATATATACTGACATACAGACATATACACAAACACACTTCATTTATCAGCCACCCTCCTCTTACCTTTAAGTTGCAGGAGCGTGGCTAGGGATGATGGGAGTGGATGCTTCTGGTGTCCTCTCCTGACCTCTGCTCTCCCCCCGCGCAGAGTAAGCTGGGCAGAAGTGACCGGCCGTCACATCCTCCCAGCAGCATTTGAGGTGCAGCCGCAATTTGTTTTTTTAAAGGGGCCCGGTCGCGCAATTACCCGGCCGCAGCGCTGACCGGGCCCCTGAAGATTATAGGGCCCATCGGGTGGCCCTAAATGCTTGGCCCACCAGATGGGCCCCGGTGCAGGTGCAGATGCACCTGCGGCAGTTTCGCCGCTCCACCATTGTAGTTGTCACCCCCTGATGGCGGCCCTGCTGGTATGTATTATTATTTGGAGGGTATTTTTGTACAGGTATTCATTCTATTTTGTATCTGATTGGTACTATTCATTCTGCATATCTATAACTGATTATGCTTATCCTCTGATTTGGATACAGGTTTCATATGGGGTATATATCTATGGTCTTATCATTGAAATTTGCTGTTAAATATTGTGTAATACCTGTGATTTTTGTATCTGTGTAATAAAGTGCATTTTATTTTAGTTGGTTGAGCTCCTCATTCATTGT